TGCAGCCACAGCTCTACCTTGCCCGGGCACCTCAGTGTGGCTCTCCACCATGTTCATGTCTCCACTGCAATCCACTGACTACAAACTCTTCTGGTCATAGGCCATAAAAATCCCGGTTTAAATCTGGCTTAAGAATTATCATTCCAGTAGTGATATTGTTTTGATAGCCCATAAAAATAAGTGAAGAAATAAATATTTTCATGTACTATTCAATATTTTTAAATGACCATTGTCCAGTTGGTCAATGGTCATTTAAACCATGACCAGTTTTTATTTTCACACTACCTGTTTTTATTTTTGCATAATTACAGTATTTCATTCTTATATTCCCTTGCAAACACTAACATATTCTTGCATTTCATAGGAATTTAGCGGTATTATTAGTCCATTATAAATAGATCTTGGTTATGTTGAGGTTTCTAAACATAAAACTGTATCTTTAAAAATTATTTGGATGTGTGGGCATTCAAGGCCATCTGAATTATATCCAAGATGAGCCTTGGGCAGACGGAAGGAGAGAAACCCGGTATTGCTGCAGCCTCTCAGCCTGCAGCATGCTCAAGAGCGCCAGCCTTGCGCAGCCAGACACAGCCTTTCTGCAGCTCCCTTCCTCTCTGACAGGTGACTAAACTCTGCCTTAAACATTGCAGGGGCCCCATCTGTTAGGCATGAGTAACAAATGCAGCCACTTTCGGTGAAAAATATTATCATCCTCCTACACCCACACCCCCTTTTTATGTAACAGGCGAGTGGCTAAGGGATTTGGTTGAGACTAGCAAAAATCAGCTGTATTCACAAAACTACATTTATGTTAGCTGTTTGATTAAAATATGTATCTATATATAAAATCCAGGTACCTTCTACCTAACTGCCTGAGTACTAAGGTAGAGAGTTTATCCTCCCTTAATTGCGCACACTCCTCTCCAGGACTTTGGCCTCTTAGCTGAGTAGTATGAAGGGGAGGGCAGAGGTGCTGGCCTCTGCTCTGAGACTGATTCCCCTCAGAGCAGCTCATGACTTGCTTCTTTATCAGGAGATGTTTTGGGCACAGCTCAATAGTCATCCTTTTTTTCTACTGTTTTTGTTTTTTTGTTGAGTTTTTTTTTTCTAATGGGACCTTTGTCATTTCTCAGTAAATGCTGTCTATTCGGTACAATGCTATGTGCTTTTAAGGAGACACAGCATTTTTGCTTCTTTATGTATCTATTTTCGGATGCTGCCTTAAACTTCTCAGGTTTCTTCCTTTAATTATATTGATGTAATTTAAAGATTAACTATTTTGAAGCCAGTATACTTGCATAAAAGAATTAGCATAAGAAAAATGTAGGGCTGCTTATGTGTCTCCCCTTAAACGGTAAAATTATTTATTTGAAAGTCGTTCGTTCAATATGTCGCCAATAGTTTTAATAAGACAAACATACTAACACAGGTATGTTCTGTTAACACTATGCATCTCTATCATCAGGAGCTCTGTTTGAAAAAATTAAATGTCCCTATGACTGTTGTAATTCAAGTAATAACTTAAAAATCAATTTTTAGTATGAAAGAGTGGCATTGATGCCAATAACAAATAGAAGAAGTCATATAAAATATGTCAAAGTCATATTGTTACTATGCCCTCAGTTGATGTGAACGTCTTAAGTGTCCCTGCTCAAAATCAACAACTTTTGGATATGTATGAGCAGCATTTTGTAGTTTCTACTTCGACCGTTGCAGATCAGAATCTGAACAGTAGCATCATCATTTTGCATCACACCTCCATCACAAAACTTCCATCTCATCAGGGTCTGCCTAACATAGTCACTTCTTTGTGAAGTTGGGTGTCCCATTGACTCCTGGTCACTGTCTGTGGTTTCTACCCAAGTTTGAAGGAGGACTGTCTTCTTCCACCCCCATAACAGAATGTCCTTTTAAACATAGCATTGTACAAGTGAGCCCTAATCTCTACTATAACTCATTTTGTAGAATTATTAGTGGACAGACGCAGTGTGGTGTTGATCTGTCTTTGCCTTTGCTTTACAGTTAAATTAACTGTGAAAGATTTTTGCTTGAAATTCACTTGGGAGGTAAAGGGAATATATCCCTCTTGAAATCAAGACCTACATACTATGTTTTTAACCTTTATTGAATTGAGTGGTAGAGGCATAACAGGCTTGTTCATTAACTGGGCAGTGTTGATCTTGAACTATTATACTGTTGTTATCATGTTTTTGGATACCAGCCTCGTTGAGAAAAAATAAATGAAATCCTCTTTAATTAATGGAAAAAGTTATCCTCTGTTTCCATCTCTGGATTCAAGTGGAAAACTCCATTTCACAGATCCATTATTACTTGCAATTATTATCCCAGCTATATTTCACAACAGAGGATATTGAGGTGTACTTTGGCCCTAGAAAAGATTTGTTTCAAAAGGTATAGTTGGAAATCTATTTTATATGGATGTATCTGCTTCTAACAGTGTAGGAGATACTGCATTCCCAGACAAAATTATGATATACTGGCAAAAGAACAGTTTTGCTGGTAAAATTTGGCTTGAACAAGTTTGTTTGTTTGTTTGTTTGTTTCAATCTGGAATGGTCTTAAAACTTGACCGATATTGTTACATTGACCGAAGGGTGGAGTAATGTAGTACCCAGTAATTCCAGTTAGTATCACTGTACAGAGAAGGTGCAGAAAATACAATTTTGAAGATGCCAAGAACCATCAGAAGCCCCTTCTTCAAAAATGCGATCCTAATTCAGACAGCAGCTGGGCCACAGTTCCTGTATGAAAAAGCAGAAAAGCAGAGATTGATGCTTTCCATACCAGAAAGCTGTGCAAATCTCAACATGTTCTCTGCTCTCAGAGATGATTGCCATGCACTCAGCTAAAACTGGAGACCGAGCTGTTCTCAAAATAGTGTCCGCCTCATCCAGCAGAGACCATCATATAGATATTTTTCTGATGGTCATTTAAATATATTATTTCATTTGTAGCATGATCTGAGTAGTCTGTTGACTTGGATTAAAAGATGTCGAGCTAACCGGAGACCGGATATTTTGCAGCCTTATCATATATCCTAGTTTATTCAGTTGCTGTTCTAAGAGGTGTTAACCTCTTGAAAAGGATCCAAGTAAATTCCAAGTAAATCTCTAATAAATCTTTGGTACATTCTGTGGGCATTTAAATATCTGTGAATATCTTTTCTTCTACTGTTTACTTCAGACTGGCTCAATATCTGGTCTGTTCTTTTCTCTCAGAGGAGGCACAGAGCTAAAAGGGACACCCATATAAATTATAATTTTGTTCGTTGCAGGCTCGTACAAGCCACTCAGCTTCTGCAGTTTTCACTATTAAAAAAAAAGGTTTTGTTTCAATCTGGATTGAAAACAGTTTCTACATCACTTGTGGAAGTAATCACAGTACCTCTGTCACGGAGAGGTTTGCCCCAGAAACTTTGTGTTCCTATCAGGCAGGTTGCTGAGGAGCTGAGAGTATGAGTAATTGGAAGACGTTCTGGGGCAAAAATTACCTTTCCAGAACTTCAGGGGTGGTGAAAAAAGAGACCATAGTATTACTTAAATTATCGTTTTATTTGTTTTTAGAAAGATTTTGCACATGCTCGTCAAACATTTTAATATGATACTCAACTGCAGTCAGAATAGGAAGGAAAGACTATTTATCAGAGCTTGGTTATTTCAAGCACAAGCAAATGGAAAAAATGGATTCTTCTGCTACCATTAAATACCTCAGTATATCTTCATCTCCATTTCGAACACTCTGGTTTAAGTATTTTGATTATTAAGTAGAATTAAACTCTGAGTTGAAATTGCTTACTTGTGGAAAATTAATAGCTTGGCAAGTGTGCTATTGACCCTTTTGTTCCTGCACACATGGATTTGCGTCATATAAAATGGTGTTAGCAATATCTCTATGTGCTGGAATTACATGAAGATGAGGAGGGATGGAGGTAGGGAGTACCCCCACTGGAGAAAACATGGTCACAGGGGCCAGGGATGGGAATACCTAACACCATGGCCAATCTCCTCAGCTGTCCACAGAGCAACACACCGATCGACCACAGTTTTCAGTTTGTTAACATGAATGGCTTTTTCATAATTTCATAACTTGGATTTTCTACTTAATTTACAGCTGAAGTTCAAAGTGAAATTGAGCGGATTTTTGAGCTAGCAAGGACACTGCAGTTGGTAGTACTTGATGCTGATACCATTAATCATCCAGCTCAACTAAGCAAAACCTCTTTGGCTCCCATTATAGTATATGTAAAGATTTCTTCTCCTAAGGTAACTATTTTAATATTTCACTCATATTATTTGTGCTGTTTCAGTAGACTTTTTTCCTTTTTTTAGATCTGGATATTAAGTACAGATAATCATGTGCACTCATTAGGTGAATGAAATCTCAAAGAGTTATGTTTTGTTCCTTTTGGGTGGTAAAATTATTCAGAAAATGACAATTATGGGATTACCAAAACCCATCTTGGAATAAGATTGTTTTAATTGGGATTGCATTGTGTGTTCTGTTGCTTTTTAGCATAAATCATATAAATAATAGTTTGTTAAATGATCTGTAGAAGACTCTGCAGGGTTTTAGCATCCAAGCAAACAATACAAAAAGAAAAGAGGGACATTTACATAGTGAATACCAAAATGATCAGTAAACTTTTAGTGGTTACTTTTGTAGTTTGGATGCTCAGCACCAAAAAAATTATTTGGTTCAGTAACAAATCAAGTGGTTGTAGAACTACATTGTGACTGATCCAGTTCACAATCCATTGACTGTGAAATCTTGTTCAGCTGACTGGGAAAATGGTCAAACCTGTTGCTTCACTTCTCTCTGTCTACCTTCTTTTTTCACTTTTATTAATGTTTATTTTTCATAGGTTTTACAGAGGTTAATAAAATCCCGAGGGAAATCTCAGGCCAAACACCTTAATGTTCAGATGGTGGCAGCTGATAAACTGGCACAGTGTCCTCCAGTGAGTTACTGTTAATTTGTATCTTGTTCGTTTGAAAACTGCTGATCCCTGTATAAAGGTGCTGATCCTTCCTTTCTTTTCAAGATGCTAATTATGTAAGTTTTAGGAATGTTTGCCCCCTTCTGGCGATATTTCACTATTGCTGTTTTGCAAAATGCCTCTTGAGCTCTGGGTTGTGGACAGAGGTATAGGCAAAAAGCATTCCTTTTCAGAAACAGCAATTAACAGGTATACTTGAATACACTCATTCCTTGAACAAACTGAAGGTTTGCTTTCCTTGATAATTCTTCCCAAGTTATGGGTCTAAAAATGAAGCCTAGGTAAGGCATGTGGGTTTAGTAGTTCCTCCTGGGCATATGTCATCACAGCTCATCGCTCTTGGTACTTTCAGCCACAGTTTTGGCAAGGAGCTGTGGAATACTGTGTAATAATTGAGCTGTAGCACAGTAGTTCTGCTGATATGTGGCTATACAAATTCTCTCAACTTCTACCTTTTAAGTGGAGCTGACGAGACCTTAGTTGTACATGGAATGGAGCAAGGATTACCCCTCACATGCATCATTATGCAACTGTCAATTGTAAAATAGAGGTTCAGAAGATAAAGGTTCAGTACAGTTCCAGAAGTGCTAATTTGCAATTACGGAGAAGCTGAATGAGGGGGATGTTTTCATCACTTAAGTTTAAGCATCTAGTTAGGAGACCAGCCTCCTCAGCTTCCCAGGAAGCCAGTACTGCTTAGAAACCTGCTTAGCTTCTCAAAACTGTTTTCAGTTCTGCCTCTCTGACCAGGTGTGGGAACAATGTTAACCATCCTACTAACTTTACATACGTAAAAGAGGATGGTGTGACTAATCTCTTAGCTAACATTTGTAGAATGTTTGGAAACTCGATGCTGTGTTGGTCAACTCTATTTTTGTTACTAATTATTTGTTGCTTATTCTAGGTGTTGAGGTCCAGCCTGTTTCATGTTTCATTTTTTTCAATAGCTAAAAAAGCTTTAATATTTAACCTCTTTTTGCATATTTGAATTTTAAGATTTGTTCAGGTTGCCTCCTCCTATCTTCATTGACTATTTATGTGTTACCAAGTAGAAGTGAGGAGGACCTGCTTTGGCAAGTTTAGCACTAGTTGTTGCTACAGCCTCTTGGGTCGCTTTTTTTTTTAAAAAAAAAAAAAAGAAAGGTAAAAATGTCCAAGCACAAGTATTATAAAGGTGTTTCATTTTGGTGAATAGAAAGTGTGATCATCAATGTCTGTAGCTGATGTCCCTTGAGCCATGGTTATTCTCACTATTCTCACTTTCCTTTATCAGGAAATGTTCGATGTAATTCTTGATGAGAACCAGCTTGAAGATGCTTGTGAGCACCTTGCTGACTATCTGGAAGCCTACTGGAAGGCCACTCATCCACCTAGCAGCAATCCTCCTAACCAGCTTCTCACTCGTACACTGGCAACAGCCACTCTTCCTATTAGCCCAGGTTCAAATATTAATTTACAGGTACTGTTTTTATGGCATCTCTTCTTTTATTTTATCAGCTTCTCCTTCTAAAGTAAAAAGTGGTCTAAAGTCTGATGTGATACTTGAACATGCTAAATATATGTTGCTCTTGTTGTTAGAGGAGGAGCAGAGTTTTTCAATAGACACTTGCCCCATTTTAGTTTAAATTGCAGAAGTTGGACACATTATTGCAATATTCACAGTGTGTTTGCGTGTACTGTGTGTTTGCATATTGACTAGTAGGCCGGTTTTGATCCCAACAAGCTTGACTGAAAGCACATGGTGATGTGAAGGGGAATACAGATTTCATTGTGCCCAGGACACTGCTGTGCCAGTTACACATGTGCCAGCCACAAGCATTTTTATAGCTCACCATATATAATCCAATCAGAGGATTAAAACTGGGCTAATACTATGCACGTTACTGCTCCTGGTAACTTTCTCACTGATAGGCACGCTATCGCTGACAGGCAAATCCCAGCCCTAGAGGCCCTGCATGACAAACTGGGTTATGTACAGAGCAGACCCACAAAGGTTGAAGGGAATCTCTTCTTGTCTTCCCATGAGCTGTAGAGTTCAAGAGTTTGCACATGACTGACACTGTTACTGATGTCTCAAGGTCAAAGTGTCTCTTCTTGTGTTTTCTTTCATCCTTTGTTTATTGGCCATTGCTGTGAAAAGTGTATATTTCCTTCAAGCTAGCTTCTTTAGGTCAGTACTGGTTAGAGAACTGGGAGGAACAGATCTTATTCCCTGCTCTGCACAGACCTGCCTCTTGACTTCGGGCATATTACATCCCTTCTTCTGTCTTTTGACTCTTTGTGCAAATGTGTTAAGGCTTTTAGCATAAGGAGAGCCTCTCCTTTGTATATGCATGCATGGCATAAACTGAGAGCTTTAAAGTTGCTAGTTTATTATAATTAGTGACACCTTGAGACCTAGAAGACTACAGTGGGACTAATATATCTGTACTAGCTTGAGTACTGGAGTAATTAACATCTGAACTTCCACCCAAGTTACATATCTATATACACCTAAATTTTATATATATATCTATACACATATGAGTTAGAATACAGTACACAGTACTTTGGCTAAGAAAAATGTCTCTTTTTAGAAAATTAAAGAAAAATGCCTCTGAAACTGAATTTACATGTTGAAAAAATACTGTTCATTTTGTATGGTTTTGCAAAACAATAGTTTTTGCTAGTCAATTTATTTTCCAAGACCGGACCACAAACTTGACAGGTCCTTCATTAACAAGAAAGATCACTTTGGCCAGCTTGTAAGGTGTCTCTTTCACCTCTAAAAGCAGTTTCAGGAAAAGAGACCATAAGGTGTGGCTCATTTTTGCCTTTTTTTCTGTTCCCAGAGCTGAAACACCCTGAAAAATTGTGAACTGGAAGAATTTCTGAGTATGAAATTAGTATTGTTGTGTGCAGATTCGCTAGATAAACTTTCTTTGCTTTGTAGACATGCTTGTTATTTCCATGAAGTTGGTTGGGGTTTTTTTTTTGCCTTTTGGATGTGGATTTATAATTCACTTATATTAGTGTGTACTGATTATACTGATTATTAACCACATTCGCTGCAAGAACAAAGTTTTAATGACACCTTTCTGAATGTTGAGATAGCTCCTTAAAAATTCACAGTTCTAAGGACTAAAAATACAAATGAATTTACACTTTCACAGTTTGCTTGTAGGTATGTTAATTCAAAAGTGCAGCGCATTGGTGGTCCCTTATGAAATGCTGAACTTTTGTGTTCCTTTTGTTTCATTTTTCTCTGATGTTTCATTTTTTGTAACATTTTCAGCTGTGTCTCAAATCTGCAGTATGTGAAGGTCTTGGAGTAGTGGGCTTATTTTCTAATCACAGTATCTGAGCCCATTCTCTTGAAAACGTGAGACCTTCTATTAAGAGAAATTCCTCTACCAGGAATTCCTGTGCTAGGAGCTTGAGCTTTATGTCTATGCTATCTTTATGGGCTGCCCTAGAGAGAAAATCTTTGCCTCCAGCCACTTGTCTGGAGTGGCCTCATCCACCCTGCAAAGCACTTGACTTGTTCTCCTCTGTGGCACCCTTTGCCTTTGGACGTGACTTGGTTTTGTGTTTTTCCAGTCCAAAGTAGACATGGTAATGAGAGATTTGTGTTGCTGCTTGCCAGCGTGGCATGTTTGGAGCATGGCACTGTGTTCTTTGCATGGCACAAGGTGTTTGAAGGTCTAAGGTCTTCTGAGATTGCTTGAACTAAACTTGGCAAAGCCCCTGCCCTTCCTGTGTCTCTGATGGGGAGCTCGGAGCAAACTGTCCTGACAACTCTTACCAAATTTCCTCTTGTGCAGAAGTTGTTGGCTAAATACGAGACCAGGAGCCATCTCATAGTCACACCTGTATAGTCTAGGTGATCAGGGGACCACTGAAGGGAGACAGGAAGCAAGTCAAACTGGCCATGTGGACACAGCTTTCCGTTTTAGTGCTCTTTAAACTTCTTCCCAAGAACCACTACTTCTAAGAAGTTACAACCTGCACCAGGAAACTGGCTCATCTCAAACTTCTCCGTTTTAGATGGCTGAGCCATAAAATTTCTTTACTGCAGCATCTAATACAATTCAGAGCCCAAATCTAGCTATGAGCCACAAAGCCAACCCTTCATCCAGATTCAGACATTACCTTTTCAGTGTCTCTGTAATATTTAGAGAGAGAAACTTAGTGAATTTGTCTGAAAAACCCTAAAACTATTAGGAAATTGCAGTGTAATAAGTTTGTTGGATCTAATCAACCAATTGAGTCCAACTCCTCCACATGTTGTCATCACAGAGAAAATGCATCTAAAATAACATTCTGTTCAAATCAGGTACAAATTTTGCATTTGTTCTCAAACCACAGCAATGACAGATTTTATTAGTCACGATTATATATATATATATATATATTTGGCATTTGATCGTATGAGAATTAAAGAATTTCATGAGTGCACCCAGTTTATGTGCCTTAAAAACAGCCATGGTTACAAAGTAATAAAAATGTGGTGTGTTCACACATCCAAGGCAGGTGTTATTTTAGATTATCTTACTTTTCACTTGATCCTATTCTTCTCCACAGAGTCTTTTCTGTTCGCTTTGAACACATCCATTTATGTTTCAATGACTAAATTCCATTTCCAGAAAGTCAGAATCATCTTAATAATTATAAAAACAGGAATAAAGAAATCAGCTACTTTGGTGTTTCTGATATCTTATTCTCATATATGCTGTTTGTTTCAAATTGGGAGCACATGGAGCAACCCAGAAACTTGCTGGGAAATTCAATAGTGGAAAATATTGCCTTAGAGAATGCTGATTTGTCAGATGGAATTGTTTTGCTGAAATACGTTGGCTTTGATAAATTTCTGGTCAAATGCAGTCCGTTTCCTCCAAGATTTCCTGTCGTTTTACTTGTTGGGTTGCTAGGAAACCCAACTGCCAGGATTTGCAGCTGAAGGACACAGTCCACTCCACAGCCTGCCACAGATTCAAGGATTCAGTGGTTTCCATAGGATTTCCTTCTCAATTAAAACAAATCTGGGCTTCCTAGCTATGCCATTCTGTTAAATCCATTTAGTTTCCAATTCCTCCATCCACCTTTGCGCTATGGATGAATCTGAAGGCCAGGAGGTTCAGCTCCGAAACTCAGTTTTGTTTCCACATCTTACAAAGCAACACACACACACACACACACACACACACACACACACACACACACGCTTTAATTTTGTGCCAGTAGATAGGATTTTTTTTGCTGAAGTTCTTAATATGAGAAGGATAATTTAATTTGACCATAAACTATTTCCTAATATTTTGAAATTAAGACTGAAAAATCTTTGGCTGTTGTTTGGGGGAAAAAAGCAGGTTAACACAATAGAGCCCCCAAATGAATTAAATAATGCCACTTGTTCATTTTGCTGGGTTTCAAAGCATTATGCTGATGAAGAGTAGGGTTGATATTGCGTGGTAATTTTTATTTCAGTCTCTTAATAGTAGCAGTTTGATAGGAATTTCTTCAGGTGATAATATCACTCTCCTCCTGCTTTCCTTGGCAATGATTGGTATTCTTGAGTGCCTAAATTATGAAGTTTAATTTTTCTTTACCATGAGAGAAATAAATTATCACTGGGAAAAACAGAGGGGCAGTGATACTATTAGTATCATAATACAAATGTTCAGTCCAGTCCAGTACCAGACTCAAGTGTATTTTATTACTAAAAAAAGACTATAAAAAAGACAGGATTTTGTACCTTGCCCAAATCCATCCTCCCAGCCCACATGTGCACTCTATTAAAATCACTCTCATAGTGCCCATTTTTCAACCGGGCTTCTCTAATCTCTTAGCTGTTCTCTGCCCTCTCCTGCTATGATGTGTCCGCTTTCATTTTTTTGCCATTTGTTCTGCTTCCACATGCTTCCTTTTTGTCTGGAGTTTGGCAGGCAATTAGTGCTGATGGGACAATGCAGAAATATTGCAGGTGTAAGAAAACCTCACAGAATAACCGGGGTGTAACCCTCTCTTTTGATTAGGATGACAGGATTTGTTTGTATTATAATACTTAATTTATAGTAAAAGTTGATTTTTTCTAATATTTTCTAGATTAGATTTCAAGTGGACCATTGTGTACTTAAATTTTATTGGTTTCATGATGCTTCCTAGTTTAATTTGATATTGGAGAAAGTATTAAAATACACAGTTAAATACGTGAACTTACTGCTGGTTGTGATACCAGGGATCTCAAGGAGACCAGAGGAGTGACCATTCAGTCCCCGAACGCAGCGGTTCACAAATTGAAGAGGAGGCACGGGTGGAACCCATCAAGAAATCCCAGCATCGCTCCTCCTCATCCCAACACCACAACCATCGCAGTGGTGTTAGCCGAGGCCTTTCTCGGCAAGAAACTTTTGACTCGGAAACCCAAGACAGCAGAGATTCGGCTTACATAGAGCCAAAGGAGGACTACGCGCAGGAGCACGGCGACCACTACGATTCCCACCGGGATCACAATCATAGAGACGAGTCCCATGGGAGCAGTGATCACAGACATAGAGAATCAAGGCATCGCTCAAAGGAAAGGGACCGCGAGCAGGACCACAATGAATGCAACAAACAACGTAGTCGTCATAAATCAAGGGACCAATATTGTGACAAGGATGGGGAAGTGATATCCAAAAAACGTAATGACACCGGAGAATGGAACAGGGATGTTTACATCCGGCAGTAACTTTTGCCCCTGGCAGTCTTGTGTTTCTTTGAAGTCTTGTAACGATGCCCCTTGAAAGTATCTTTGGGTTTTTCATTGCAGAACATATGGTATCCTCTGTATGCTGATTTGTATTGCTGTTGCTTGCATAGCAATAGCATGAAATAGAATATTCATGTACTTATTTTTTGGTTAGTGCTATATGAATTAGCGTAGTACAACTGCAGAGTTCCTGGTGTTGTACTATGCCTTTTTTTCAAGCTGTTTTTGGTAGCTGCCACTTGAACAATATCTGTTGCCATCAAGGTGTTGTGTTTTTAAAAAGGTACCTTTGATGTTTACTAACTTCCCATGTATTCAGCAAGCCAGAATCAGCACATAAAAAAACTAAAACTTTTGTCTGCTCTAATTTTTAATTTGAATGCACTTGATTTGCATATTGATTTGAGAGCCACTATCTGTTGCTTGTACCTCTAGTGGACTCCATTTGAGGAGAGAATTCAGTCTTGCCTTACACCCAGGGGATCATAAAGTCAGAATCTATTTTCTATGTACTGGTACTGTGTACTGTATATACAGTTTATAAATGTTATTTCTGCAGACACCTTCTTACTATATAAGTTTGATCACACTGTTTTAGAGTCCTAATGCCAAGTCAGCAGATTTGCTTTTGAATTACTGGCAACTGGAACTAGCCTCATTTAGGGAATCTGTAACAGTGTTCAATCTAAATACTTCTTCTTCTGTAGCAGAAAGCTTATACTTACTGTAAATATGAATGAATGCTTGAGATAAAGGGTCTAATTCTTATACCTAACACGTCCTTGCAAAGCCAATTTTGCATTTTAAATTTATGGTAAAGATAACTAACTTACCACTATAAATTATTCTTCTCTGTACAGGTCATGCAATTGCAATGGACACCACTTAATTTTTGTTCTACTGTCAGAATAACGGAGCACACGAGGCAGAGGTGTGGATGTGAGCGGGGGGCACTGGATGGGTGCACATTAGCAGCAAAGGGTGGGAACCTACTGAAGAAAAAGGTTACTCAAAACCCCAGGAAGTCTGTTTCTTCATTCTATTAACGTAAAATCCAAATTGCAGCTAGGGAACATGGGGGAGTTTACTGACCCAGGTAATTGAGAAAGCATAAATCTGCTGGCTCTTTGTTGAGACTCCAGGAGAGTAAAAACACAGGCAAATGTTACTGTGAGTGTTTCACTGGAAATGTAAAATCTTTGTGTTTTAGAGTATCTGTTTTAGTAAGAAAAGTTTACACAGCTTGTGGAGAGTTATTTTGTTGGAAATAAATTTTTGTAGCTTCTCCACTTTTTTTTTTTCTACACTCGCCAGTTCCTCTGCATTCCCACTTTGCAGCCAGCTCACTGCTTTTCCTTCACCTGAACTGTTGTGCTGCCAGTAAGAGCTTAGAAAAATGACTGTGACTAAATACTCTGTTACGAGCTTACTAGAGAAAATGTGTTTAAATCAAAGAGTGAAAAGAGTTTGTTTTGCATTGAACACCTGTTGCACTGGTAAGTGGGGAAAAATTCATTACTATTTTTGGCTACGGATTCCATACCCTTGCCTAGTGTAAAGGCTGTTCTGCATCACATATAATCTTTGTATTAATTGTATGAATGAAATACTTTTTGTATTTCACTGTAAATAGCACATTATATAAAGATTGTAGTCGGATAATACTTCATTTAGATGGAAGTTTTTATTATTTATTATTTTAATTCTGGGAATATCAGCATTGCCTGATGTTTGAATATCATTTTAGTGAAATGGATAAGAGATATGGGATGTGCGTGTTTTCTCCAGTCTTCTATTCCAGCATCCAGGCAATTCAGTTTGACTCCCTTAAAGATATTTTGTCTGCCCTGTCCTCTCCCTGCTGTTCTACTTGCATAATTTAACAACAGCCCAAGCGGGTGATATTCTGCTGTCAGGTACCTGGACACGGCTCGCAGGGCTGCTGTCCCTTTGGTAGTTCACGTGCTTTGACTCAGAACATGAACTCTGGGGAACATGAAAAAAAAGGTGTTTTTTTTTTTTTTTTAAGAAATAAACTTCGTAGCATTTCCCTCAACATCATTTGTAAGAAAAGGAAGCATAGGTAAGTAGACCTGCTGTATAACAAAATGGGTATTTGTGACTATATAAACAGTGGCTTTTGATCTAAAGAGATTTGCAGTATCAGTGGGAAAGACATTGAGAGGTTTTTTTCTTTTTTTTTTTTTTGTGGTGTTTGAATCATATCAATCGGATCAAATTTAAATGCAAAGAGAATTTATATTGTCTTGTTACGTATAACCTGGCTTTAGCTGTTTCACCAGCTTCAATGAATCCTGTCACTCCCTTCAGCTGTTGTTGGAGGGCTGTGTCCTTTCAGAAGTGATCTTTGGATTCCACTTCAGTACCCTAATTTTTTGTTGTTATTTTTAAATCTTGCTTCAAGAAAGGTTCGTTTTTCCACCTTTCTTAAAGTATTCCTTAAGGAACGGTTGGCAGAGTTTCAAAGCAATGGACAGTGCTTTGTGTGAAACCCAGAGATAAAGAAATGAGAAAATAAATCCCAGTTCTGGTATTTAAGCATCACCTATGTATTTGGTTACAGATATAAGTATCTTATCAAAAAGAAGGGCATATCCCCATCCAACTCAATGAGAGAATCATTTTTTTTGTATAGTTCAACTAACTATGTATAGACAACATACTAATACTTCCATTTCTTAGGCTGACGCTCTCAGTAGGTATTTATTCGCCTTGCTAAGATATTTTCCTTCGGTTACTGTTTTACGAGTGACAAATCAGTTGTAATGTGTGAGCTTGCACTAACTACACGCTTTGCACAATACCACCTGCCTGCTGAGCACTGCTTTGAAAAGCACTTAAACAGTTTTCAACAAGAAGCTTTAAAAATGCTCTGGCTGGAGGACATATCAAAGGTTATCGTGATGAAATGTCATTGCAAATGGAAATTGCAATGGAAATTTTACCATTATTGTTTGCACAGGATACCAGTGGACTCATATTTCTGTGTCCGGCTTCAAGAGCTTGGAATTTGATAAATGTGAGAGGTCCCAGTTAGCTCCAGAGTCATCTTATTTACGTGTGGTACAAAACAACCTCTAACATTTCTTTTAAAATAAGCTAAAAAAATGAAACAAATGAGAAAGAAGGGAAGATGATAAAACAGTTGAGTGGTACACAGGTCGTAACAGCTCTCACTGTATTTTTCCTGAGGATTTCAGCATATGAAAGGAATAGGATAAAACTTAACATTTATGTGTATGCTATACATTAACTTTTTGTTTTGTGTGTCTTTTTAAATGAATACACATCAGGACTGTTCGACAGGATCAGGGTAGTGCTATGTAGACACCATGGAGGAAAGAATTCTCGAGGAGGATTTGGAAGAAGGGGAGAGCAACAGTCTCAAGACCTGTTAAGGGACAGGGTAGCATGGAAAAATAAACAGGTTTGTGCACAAAGTTAGCAGCAGTCAGACTTGAGCTTTAAAAAAAAACCTGCACTGAAATCAATTAATCAATTTTCTCTAATCACTACAAATGATTTTTTTTTAAAAAAAATGAAAAGTCTCTTTTGGAATACTCATGAACTCATACCCCGTGTCAGGCATCAGAGTTAAAGATTGGAGAGGCATCTTTTACAATTTATGCTTCTCAAGATGTAAAATATAAATAGGTAGTTTCTTGGCCCTAATTATTGAAGACCATTTTAAAGCTAGAATCAGTCCGAGTTAGAATGGTTTATCTGTTTTCACAGAAACGTATACAACATGTGTGAAACTCTTCACTTACAGCCCTTATTATAAATGGGCAGGGAAGGAAATTCTATTTGTCAAACACTGAATCAAAGTACAGAGTTCACTTTTCTTCTCCTTGTATGTCCTGTATATCCAGCAGACCCTGCTGGATGAGTGACATGCAGTCACTGCTGCCCAATGCAGTTCCTGCCCAATTCTAATGCTCTGCCACCTTAATACTTATTTTGATTTATGACTTTGTTAGTAATGACTATTTTCAAGCTCCGTCAGCTAAGTAAAGTCAGAATCAGTTTATGTGACACCTGCAGAGGTTTTGAAATGGTCCTGCTCGCTGTGGCCCCTGCCCCTTACCAGTCCCCTAGCTGGACAGGAGCGAGTGGCTCCATCGCTTCCGATCGGCGTCGGTGCCGGGTAACAGCCCGAGCGGGACGGAGCCCCTGGACAGCTGGGAAAGCCTCCTCACGATTCATTTTTGTTTCTGGTTACACTTGACTTCTCATTCCTTTAACATATCAGGCAGAAAGTTACCTCCCAAATGCTCATTCTCCTAATCCTCTGGTTTTTTTGTTTTGTTGTTGTTTCAACTTTAATTCCATTCCCTCCATGAAAATCACATTGCAAAAGGTTTTAGCATACAGTCCACAACAGGGGCAGAGAAATTCCTTTTGTAGTGGAAAGTTCCATCTTTGGTATACATCTTGTCATACTTATTACCTTATTTTACAGATCTTTCACCAAAATTTTACCATCTGATATAGAAGCTATTGTCTTGTGAATTTTTTCTGTCAAATATTGTTCAGTCAAACTTCTTGTTCAGCAGATTTCAGTTGTGTCTATACTTCACTTCCCTTACGCTTACAGTACTTCCATAGGCAGTTTCCATTTATAGTATAATACTCCAGAGATATGTTCCTACACAATCAAAAAAGTTTTACATCACGTAGAAATTAATCTGCTTCCTCTAATCATCTGTATTTTTTTTTCTTACTTTACTCCTACCATTTTATTTGTCATGCATACTTTCTCTACAACAAATTCTAGCAGCATATAACTGGATTTGCTCATAAGTTATTTGGTAATTTCTAGAATAAGAATTTTTAAGCTGTTTTTGAGGAATTTTTAACTAAAATGAACAACACTGAGTATTTAGTCACAATGAAGCAGAAAAAAAAATCCTCAAAATACAGGGTGTATAAATATATATAAGTACCCCAAATCATTTTGGCTTGATTATCATCACTAGGTTGTTATCTTATTAATAAGTATTCCTTTTTCCTTTATGAGTTTATGAAATCCCGTTATCTTATTAATAAGTATTCCTTTTTGAGTTTATGAAATCCTACAGTCTACACATTTCATTGGACTCCATGACCCTTAAACAGAAATAAGTTGTTACTAATATGTCATGCTATATTAAGCTGCCTATTTTAATATCTTTATATTGACCAAGATAAATATTTAGATCTGACACTATTACTACTAATTAACTATTTCTGCAAACAGACAAAACTTTTTCTGGCTCATTTTCTTTAAAGACAGTTCTGATTATATGCCCAACCTGCTTTTTTTTTTCTCTCCTTTTTTTCATTCCCTTTTTTTTAGGATTTATCTTTCATTAAAATTACTTTATTATTATTTCAAGGCTGCATATATTTCAATCCTGCTACAGCCACACTGAGGCATTAGGATGCATTTTGTAAAGCACTCTTAGCAGGAAAGGTAGGACACATACATACTCCATACATGAAAATGGTGAAAATGAAAAAAATATAAAATACCTGCATTTTAAGTCACAGAAAGAAAAGAAAAAAGAAAGAGGGCATCCTACCACCTTTAGACACTCAGTTTAGCCAAGCAGTCTCCTTCCATAGTCAAAGGAAGGAGGGTGGCTCTTTTAGAGGGTGATTCACATCTTAATTAAATTTCTGCTGCGAACTGCCTGATGGGGAAGTCTCTTTTCTCTCTTTTCTGTGTGTGTGTCTGTCTCTCTACACCTCTGCCTTCCTTCCCTCAATCTTTCTCCCTCGTGCACAGAGAGAGGGCCTGGGGAAACAGCTTATCCCTTTAATATGCTGAATATTCTATTATTAAGTGCAGCAGTGACTTTTGGAGAAAAAACTCTAGTAGGGTAAGTTCAGATATCAGTAATGCTTTTTCAGGTTGTGTGGTCTGAAATTACACTGGAATCACACACAAGTCAGTCTTTTTTTTTTTTTTTTTCTCTCAGAGAAACCTGTCTTATAAAATTAAGTCAGTGAGATCAAGTTCCTCAAAAGCCTGTTTTTGATTCAGAAATAAATAAATCTGGGAAAGTCTCAACAAATCCCCCACTAAAAAGCCAGCATTTCTGATTTTTTCCAGATTCAATATGCATAGCTCCTGTTACTGAATATGAAGGCAAAAGTTACCCACTTTTCATGTGTATGCAGATTTCAATGTATTGACTATACATGCTGATTAACATTTTCCAAATTTATAAATCCTGCAAAACTGAAATGGTCTTTTACTAGCACTGAGCTGCAGATTTCAGCATGTACATACAACAGAAAATAAAGTTTGTAACCAAGTAATTATTTTTTAGCCATATTTAGGCTAAAACCACTATAATTTAAAATATAACTTAGTATGATTTTAAATAGGGTAATTTGCACACTACTGATGCAGAAAAAAAAGATGAATTTTTATTCTTCATCTGGCACATCATGGTTAACTGCAAGGAGGACCAACAAAAGCAGATAAAGTGGACAAGGAACCCATTCTCCTGCCCTGCTAGGATGGGCCTCTTGGAGGATGAAGATTGTTTATGTAGGACAGTCACCTTCGGTAAAACAGAAGGGGAATCTCTCTTATTTAAGAATGGTAGAAAATATTCTGTATCAAAACATTTATAGCAAATACAAGTAAAGAAACAGACTACTAACATATAGAATTATATAAGTTGTTTTGATTAACAACAAATGCATTGACAGGAAATAGTTTAGTAAAAGTGAATCATAAATTAGTATCACTCCATTAAATGAAACCAAATAATTCTATGCCAAAAGAAAGATGTTTTTCAGATGATGATTTTAAAAATTTGATCAGTGGCAAAAAAAATAGGATTTTGAATTATACTTACCTTTTTCTCACCGATTTTATTGCTATAGCCACTGCCAGGGATGAGAATACTGTTCAAAATGAGAACTGAAAATCTCTGGAACTGAAGCAGAGATTTCAACTACATATATATCAAATTTATGCAATTTAGATTATTAAACACTTTAGCAGTGTTTTATGTCAGTTCTCATCAATATGCTTCCTCAGTCTCAATTTTCATATGATTTTAGCAGGTGCACTTTCTGACAAGCAGAGACTTAATATTCTGTTTGAAAGGAAATTGCAAAATTTCAGATGGTATTATGCATTGTTTTCTGTCTCTTGATATATTAATCACAACTTTTGCCCCTTCTATTGCAAATGTTTGATTTTAAAAATGTCATTTGTCAGCCAGTCCAATACTCTATTTCAGAACCAATACAGTTTATGCATGGGAAGTTTGATGTTGAAACAATATTTATTTACATTCCCAGAGTGAGATGGTTTAATATATTCATGCTGCTATAAAAGACATGCTACAAAGCCTAATCGTATTTTGTGTATATACTATGTGTACAGAGAATCTTGCTTGTATTAAAATAAAAGAGAAATGAGGTTCTAAGTATCAATTTATAAAACAGTTCTTTGTGAAATATTACAGTGTTTCACTTAGCACTATTTAATGAGGCACTTTGGGAAACCTCCACAGAAACCACCTCTTCCAAAACCTGCAGTAACAGTTCCATTATATTTTATTTATGCATTAAATAAGACAGACTCCTATCCTGTCGCTGTGAAGCCCTGTTCCTGTTTGTGGTGCTCAATGAGCTCCTCACGTGGATAAACCAGGCAAGCGGATGCTGAACGTCCTTGTCTTTCATGCAGTGACCTGCTGTAAACACAAAAGCAAACGGAGACTTAAAACCGTCCCTACCCCTCCCCCAGCTGTGACTTTCTTTCCGCAACCTGTGGCTTGTTCCCAGCGGAACAGCTGGCAGATCTTCCTGCTGCCATGGCAACCGTGTCGTCAGCCTGTTGCCTTGGCAACGCTGCAGCACTACGAGACACAGCTGACGGCTGAACTGCTGCTGTGCTCGGCCTCGCAAACGGGGGTTTTTTCAGGTTGTATTGCTAAATGGTTATTTACTACTCAATTTAATAAATTTTGCAATAAAAAATCCTATACAGTCCTTATTTGCCAGTGAAACCAAATCATCTTCCCTGGAATCTTGCAAAGAAGTAATGTCCATTTCCTGCAAAGTCACAGCAGATGGATCGACTCTCTGCAGCAGCTTCAGCTGAGCAAGCGACAACCCAGCTCCCCTCATGCCTTCTCCTCCAATATGAGGTTCCTTTTTAAGTAAAAAGAAAAGCAAATTATTTCATGAGTAAATATCTTAGTATCTTCCTGAATGCTGACAGTATGGAGAAGCTAAGTTTGTATGATTTACAGCATGGGAAAATTCAAAAGTAACGTGGTCCTCCTTTTCCTGCCTTCATGGCAGGAACATGTATGACGAGCACATACACACGTAGATGAACCCGAAAGCCCTTGAGAGGAGGTGCCACAGCTGATCCCTTTTCATCACAGCACTAAACAGCACTTTAGTAATTAGAGCACCTACTGGGCATGGGTACACACAGATCTAGATCATCTCACTCACAAGAGTGCATCATTCCCTATCACTAGAAAACTGTTACGACCAGAGAGTAAATAGTTGTGAGCCTTTTAGGGTTTCACTTTTAAATCTGTGCACTGACTAATAGGAGCTGCTGTGTCTGTACGAACCGAGAATCGGCTGCTATGCAGTAACCTCCAACTTGGAGAGATCAGTGCTCGTGTTTCCAGCTCCTGGTTGTCCTTCCCCAAATGTTCCCAGGCCCTGCAGCCCAAGTGAGAGCTACTGAAGTTTCTAAAAAGCAGGTGTCCCCTAGGAGAGACTACAGAGCACGGGAAATATGTAAGGGGGCGGGAGGTAAGTTGACCCTAGACTCCAGTTTCCTCTTCACAGAGAAATTGCCTTACTTTGTATTACTGAGTAACTGGGTTTAAGGTGGTTATAACAACTATCTTCGGATTATACAGTTCAGTGTCATTGAATTTAAAGTATAAGAAAAGCTTAATTTTTAAATAGATGGCGTTTGTGTAGGAAAACTAGTGCTTTCCTCAATGCTTACCTTATTGGTGAGAGATCAAGCCTATTGAAGTTTGAATGATCCTTTTATTTGAGTTAACAGGGTCTGTGTTTTGCTTTGTCATTTTATCAATGACCTTTTTTTTCCCCCCACTATTAGGAAAAGCATATAATCTCATCTGAAATGCAACTTGAAAATTCCTCATAAATAAATGGTGAGGAAGTCTAAATTTGAACCAGGGGTGAAAGACACATAAATCTGCCACATAAATCTTTTAAGAAAAGCTTCAGTTCTATTAAATCTTTAGCAGCTTTCTTATAATTTTTCCTCTTTTTGTACACCCATTGTATTTTTCGAATTTTTTAAAAGATCATTTACTATTTCTTCTTCTATCATTTACTTCTTGAAGACAGATACAAATCATTACAGAATGTATTAGTTAAATATATAGCAAATTTAGACTCTTCCTCAAAGCTAATGTGATTAAGAACTAACCAACTCAGTTGATCCCATTAACAAATGCGAACAGATTCACATATGGTCTGATGATAAACTTTCTCATTCTGAAATGTATACAGTATAGATAAAAAATCCAGTACCTCTCTATAACCTGTATTTGTATATAGCCTGTCAGACACCTTAATGGTAGATATTGGCTTCACAAAATACAAAGTAAATTCTTGGGCGTAAGTCCTGAAATAAATTTATTTCTTATTCCTCTAAATAATGCAAAGATGAGTTCCATATATATAAAATCTCAAAACATCAGGTTCTTTGTATTTTTCTCTGATCTTTTATGCAACTCTTCACCATCGCAGTATCTTTAATAAAAGGTTTTAACTTTTTAATCTCTCCTGTGAAACGTGTGAAGTAAAAGAATAAAGTATATGCATTACAAGCAAAGAGTTACAAGAGACACTTTAGCCTATCTGAACTTTTATCCCTGTTGTGTTTTAAATGACAGCTGCACAAATCAAAATCAGCATAGTATGCAGTAGGATTAAATCCATGAAACTGCCTAACGCTCACTAAATGAAGGTAAGACGAAAATAGGTTTAAAAAAGCCTCAGAAATTCCTGTGTTATTTCTGACTAGCAGCTAAAATGGTCTGCATTGAAAAAAAGATTTGTTAGTAGTAAATGCAGTGCTTAATTGTAGAGTGTCAAAAAAAAAAAAAAATCACTGAATTGTGTAAAGTACCCTGAAGTTATTATTACCTGTGGCTGAAGCTGGAGGCATGGAAAAGTTTCCAGAGCCCAAGCAACTTGCTCCTCATTTTCAGAAAGGGTAATAGTGCATGTACTATATACTAAAACACCTCCTGGCTTCAGCAATTTCACTGCCTGTAGGGAGAAAAAAAACATAGTTCAGCTTACATTTAAGCACAAAATGGCTTTGAATATGAGTTACAAAGTATGTAGAAACAATGCGCTATAACAAGTAAACATAACACAAACTATGTTATGTCTAAAAACAGGCATTAGGATATTTATTATTTTCAGGGAATAGGGTAAATAATCCTACAAATTAGAAAGGTTTTTCTTTCCAAATCAGCATTATATCTTATGTAACTTATTAAATGCCATTGTGATGATACATTCCTATGTTATTTATATAGCACTGTGCATCTCGGACAGGTAAATTCTATTTTCATCACCAGCTACAAATCACAGACAGGTACTTTCTTTAGCGATACTACCTGTCAACTGTTTCACACATTTAGCAGGAAAGGTATATATCTACGATGTTTTTCAAGCCCTCGTTCACTTTGAATACCTGCAATTTAGACAAGTTTCATGAAATCCTATCCTTAGCATCAGCCCAAGCACATTCCTAATAGCTTGTCACTGCTGTTCAGACTAACTGAATGTTAAAGGACGAGTTTCATAAAAAATGAAATAACACATTCTTTTTTTAAGTACATATAAATATATCAAGTGGTCCTAAATGATTTAAACTCTCCTCCTCCTTTTATTTGAGATGTGGCTGGGTTTAGTTCCTAGAACACAAACCTCTAAATTTAAAGATACATTCATGAAAATGGCAGTGTTTTATAAATCTTTTGGCATATGAAGAGCAGAAATGAAAAGCTAGGCAGATTTAGATGTTTAAAACATCACCAAACATACTAGCTTCATAGAGGCAGACTGTATTCTAAGATCTGTGCAAATATAAAGTGTTCTGGGGACTAAACTCAGCCACATCTCAAGAATGTAAGAGGAAAAGCTTAGCAAAAATATCTTGTGATGAAAAAGAAACAAGTCACTACTTGATGGTTTCTTAATACAGCAAGTAATGAAAGGCAAAGAAATGACATGAAACATTTATTCAGAAGGGATGAAGCTACAGAACAGAAAACAGTGGTCTGTTTCAAAGAACACTTTTCTGGTGCTCTATTTGACCAGAAAAAAAAAAAAAAAAAAGGCAATTTGTTGCTCTGGGCAATAATAGCCCAGCATTTAACTGATGAAAAGATAGAGAAGAAGGGACTATCATTTGGGGATGGGGTAAGTTTTACACTGCAGAACCTTATGTGTAATTTAACTCAGCTACTCAATTATTAATACATACCACAGTGAAAAGCTTGCGCTGCAAGGGCTGGTAAGATGTCATTTCTTTTAGAGTCCAAGAATAAGCCATGTTTGGTCTTTGTCCCATCCCACTACAGGGAGCATCAAGAAGAATTCGATCAAATGACTCTGGTGAAAAAGGAGGACCTTCTGCAAAGAGCAGTTAATAATGTAAAAGCTGCAGCATAAATATACGGCTGTTGCTTTTCTTGAGACTTCACAACACATAACAACAAGCTTGCTTGTCATAAAACATTTATGCTCTATAGATACTCTCTGCAAAAGTGATCTCAGCTAGAGACAAGTCTTAGCACTGCTGATGATAGATTTTATCTCACAGAAAAGAGTTTTAGCATTCTGTAAACTCAAACAATTTATGATCACCCTGGCTGTAACAGCTTTCAGCCTAATCAAATATTGTGGAAATAAAAGGTAAAAACAGAAAAAAATATTATGTGATTTATTACAAGTATTGAGTACAGAGCTGTACATATAGGCTGTAATAAGCCAGAATCACTTTGTAACTGAACCAAAAAGATGTGTAAATCTTAAGCCTGCCAAGCTTATCTTGAGATAAGCCTGTAGTTAACCAGTAAGACTGCCTTAAATATTACTATTTGGACTGCCTGTATAGTAGTTGGACTGCTTATAAAATAATAGCTGTATCTGTAGAAAATGAGGCATTTTATAATGAAGTGAAATATATGTTTTAATACATGACACACGCTGGCTCTATAACCAAACAACTGAGTAAACAAGAGCTGTGAAGAAAGCAGAAATATTTCTGAATATTATCAGGATAGATAATGGAATATGTAACCTCCATATGAATAGCCTGTGCCTTCATCTGAATGCCATTGGCTCAACACTCCAGAAGTTTTTATAATTCTAACGTGAGAGCGACTCTTCAGTTCAGGCTCACCAAGACAAAAGTGGGTCCCTATGTGAATCTGTGAGTAACCAGTGATATGTATGGTGTGTGTATATATATGCTTTGCCTCCTTTTCTTCTTCTGTTTCTCAAATATTCAAGTTAGGTCACAAATGAAAACAAGCGAGCAACTTCATCCTGCCG